CTTTTATTAACTACTCGGGCAGTTCTTAATATTAACTATATAGTATTAATATATAATATTAGTAAATATTTATACTATTTTAATAAATTTTATATACTTTTTATATTATGAACTTATTAAAATAGTTAAGGATGTTAATAAAATTATAAGTTAATAAGTTAGGATTTAGGCTCGTAATATACGTATTATTATTTAAAAATAGTTTTAAAATCTTTATTTACTTAGTAAAATATTTATAACGCTAAGGCTTATATTTGTTTTAGTATTCTGCTTTTACTAGTTACTCGGGCGATTCTTAATATCGGTTATATAGTATTAATACACGGTATTAATAAATACTCATACTATTTCGCTAGGCTAAGGCTTATATAAATTAAAAAAAACTAGTTAAATAATTATTAATTATAATATTAATTAATTATTAATAATAATAATATAATAAGATTATATATATATATATATATATATTATTTATTATAATAATAAATATATATATTATTATATAATATTAATATTTTAATTATAAATAATTAGTAAATTATATTAAATATATAATTATATAATAAGCTTATAATTTATTAAAATAAGTTAATAATTTATTATTTTATTATTTATTAATTAATTTATATTTATAAATACTATAGAAATTAAAAAAATAAAAATATTTAAAAAGTATTTAAAATATATTAAGGAAATATTTAAAATATATTAAAGAAATATTTAGGAAATTCTTTAGAAACTTTTTAAAAAATTTTAAGAAATTCTTAAGAAACTTTTAAGAAATTCTTAAGAAACTTTTAAAAATTTTTTAAGAAATTCTTAAGAAATTTTAAAAAATTCTTTAAGAAAATTTTAGGAAAATTTTAAGAAGATTTTAGGAAAACTTAAAGAAATTTTTTTAGGAAACTTTTAGGAAATTTTTAAGAAATTTTTAGGAAATTTTTAGGAAATTTTTAAAAAATATTTATAAGTAATATATTATTTACTTAGTATTTATAATCTTAACCTCTATTTATATATTTATTATAAATATTTATTTATAATATTATAGTATTTTTAATTTATATAATACTATTTTAAAAAAATAAGTAAAATACTTTTATTTTAATAAACTCTTTATTTATAAACTTTCTTAAACTAATTATTCCCTATTATCCCTTAACTTTTAATTATACTTTTTATTTATTTATATCTTTAATAAAAATTTAAATAAAAATAGCGGGGTTTATTTAGGAATCCGTTTTATTATTATTAAAATTATTAGTAGGGGTAAGTTAGACCGGCTTATTCTTAATTATTTTATTATTCTAACTTATTTACTTAGGGGTCTTAAAGATTTTTAAAAATAATTAATATTAAATATAATAATATATAAATATTAATAAAATAACGTATTAAAAATATCCTCGTTTAGTACGAGTTTAGGGTAATAATACTTGTAAAATACTAAATAAGTTAGCTCGTATATATTAAGGGGAGGATAGGTTATAAAATCTAATTAAGAAGAGCGTTAATTAAAAAATAAGTTATACTTATTATAATTAATAATATTTTACGATTTATAAACCTTATAACTCTTCTCGGGGCCGAGCTTAATATTTATTTTTATCTAAATAACGTCTTATTAAAAATAGTTAGTCTTATAAATTAAAAATATTTTAAAAATATTTCTATTTATAGTATTATCCTTTTTAAAAAGGATAGTAAATAATACTTTATTATTTATAATAACCTTAGGCTTTTAGGGGGTATTTAGGGGCATATCCTAGCCCTTTATAAATAATATTATTTTAATATAATATCTTATAAAAAACTATTAATAAGGCTAAAAATATTAATATATAATAAAAAATAACTTATAAATAACTTCGAGGTTAATAGTAATAAAAAGGGATTTTTTATAAGAAATTATAAAGTTAATATAATAACCCTTTTTAAAGTACTTTTTAAGTATATTAAAAAACGACTAATAATAGTTATTAAAATAAAAGCTATTAGCCTCTAAATAATAATAATAAAGTTCTCTTAATAATAGGATTACTTAACCTTATTATTATAAAAGTAAGTAAATAAATCGTATATTTAATTATAATAATAAGGATAAAACTTATATTATCGGTCTCGAATATAAAGAGATTTTAAGGCCGGCCCCTCTTATTATTAATATAAAACTTAAAACTATTACTATTATAATAATAAAAAAGTATTATAAAATTAATTTAAAAATATTTCTAATTAATTATTAATAAATTTTAAGTACGATAGTAAGTTTTATAATAAAAATTCTTAATAAAAGTCGTAATAAAGGGTAGAAGTTTAAAAAAAGGAACGTAACTTAGCTAGGATAAAAGAAAAATATAGGTCGGAATTATTTCTTATTAATTAAGTAGTAGTACTCTAATTAGTTATAATTTATTTTTAAAATATTTCTAATCTAAGTATCTTAAAAAAAAAAAAAAAAATCTAATTAGTTAAATTTAGCCGGGATTTATTAATATCTAAGTACTTATTATTATATACGGGACTCTTACTTTAACTAGGGGGGGTTATTATTAGTTTATATATAGACTCCCCTTAAGGGGCGGCGTCTCACTTAACTTATTAGTAAAAGAACTTCGGTAGCAGGCTCGCCAGGGCTTTTGACTCACTCGGCATCTTTGAGACTTTGTACATGTACTTTGCTCTCATCCAAATTCCGTCGAGTCTGCTTAACTTAAGCTCGTTCACACAACCAAGGGGTTGTGGAGGTATTGAACTTTAACTACCAATCAACATCGACCTCTATAGCAAACATGGCAACGCAAACCGCAACGGAGTTGCAGACATTCAAGCCTGCTCCGTCAACACCAGTCACCTTACTGCGAAAAAGCCATGACGCGCCACCAGACTTCCAACAAGCCCCCGGCGGCCTAATGACCACCGACTCAGAAGAGGAAGCAGCAACGAACGCCCCCGTCCTGCTCTCCAAAACCCGAGCCGGCATCGTCATCGCCCAAGTCTGCGGTCAGCTCTTCTTCAGCAGCTTCTGCAACGGCATCATCGTCGTCGCCCTACCCGCCATGCAGCACAACATAGGCCTGGACGAAGGTCTCCTCGTCTGGCCTAGCTCCAGTTACTTCCTCACGGCCGGATCGTGTCTCCTGCTCGCCGGCTCCGTCGCCGACGTCGTCGGGAACAAGCGGGTGAACCTGACGGGCTCGTTCTTCAGCGCCATATTCGCCATGGCGTGCGGTCTGGCGCAGACGGGTGGCCAGATCATTGCGTTCCGGGCTCTTCAGGGTGTGGCGTATGCTGTCATTACGCCTTCGTCCATCTCCATCATCTCGACCAACATGGAGGAGGGGCGGCCGCGCAATATGGGATTCGCATGCATGGGCTTTTCCCAGCCGCTGGGGTTCTTGTTTGGGCTGGTTCTGGGTGGTGTGTTTACTGATAATGTTGGATGGCGACCGGCTTTCTACCTGGCTGCGGCTGCAAGTGCGGCTTTGTTCTTGGTTGCCATCTGGGCATTGCCGCGCGACCTTCAGACAAGAAATGACCTTTCTATCTGGAAGCGACTTGTCAAGGATATTGATACCGTGGGAGTAGTCCTGGTCAGTACTGGCCTAGCGACCTTGTCATATGTGTTGGCGTAAGTACCTGATCTATGCACAGCTCGGTGAACGAAATGGTTAACCTGGCACAGATCATTGTCAGCCGACATCAACAATATCCGTAAGCCAACTAGCATTGCGCTTCTGGCAATAGCCGGCTGCTCTATTCCTTCATTTGTCGGGTGGATGCATCATCGGGTGAAGAACAATAAGACAGCTTTGATTCCCAACTCGCTTTGGAGCAGCTATGTGTTCACCAGTTGTTGCGTCATGGTACTTCTTACCAACGCTCTCACCAACTGTATGGAGCTTTACAGCAGTTTGTTGTAAGTCGTAATGGCACTGTTTGGCGGACTTCTTGAGTAACGTAAACCAGCTTCCAGCAGGTCCAGGGCTTGTCAGCAACGGTGGCATCAGTCCAGGTCGTTCCATCTCTCGCCGCTGGTGCACTTACAAGCATCGCAACCGGTATCTTCGTCCATCGCATGCCCGTCTTATGGATGCTATTGATCTCATCGGCAATGAGCACAGTTGCGCCGCTTCTCATGGCCCTCATTCGCACCAACCAACTGTATTGGGAGAACGCCTTCTTCGCACAGGTAAGCAAAGAGAACGCCCGTAACCTAGACTATTTTCAGGCAACACCCATAACCTACGACTTTCATCCGTTCAGTCTACTTTTCGGCAACTAAGATATCCCCATGTAGATCCTCACCCCCATCAGCTGCGACATTCTCTTCACAGTCGGCCTCCTCATTGTCTCCGACGTTTTCCCCAAACGCATGCAGGCCCTCAGCGGCGCCGTCTTCAACACGTGCGCTCAGCTCGGCACAGCCCTCGGGCTCAGCGTGGCGCAGGTCATTGCCTCGTCTGCGACTAATGCCTCTTCGTACGCTGATAAGTCGTCACCTGATGCCCTCATGGTAGGTTACAGGGTTGCCTTCTGGGCCATGTTTGGCTGGATGATGTTTGTCTGTCTCGTTTGTGTGTTTGGAATGCGCCGGATAGGTGTTATTGGTGTGAAGCGGGATTAGACTCATCCAGTCTATCACAACCTGCACGGTTCAGCCACCTTAAGGAGCACATATAACGAAGTTTCAAAGCATGGCTGGCGTCTTTAGACCTTGCGGACAAGACAAAAAGGCATATTGGAATCACAAAACGATAGGCAGATCAGATGCATGATACTGGAAATACAGATGACGCATGTAGAAGTAGGATTATTTTGAAGCAAAGCATGGAGCCTTTTGCGTTTCGACCTGAGTCGATTCTAAAAGTCCAAGCAATACTAGAGAGTTGACTCGGTAGAAACATGTAAATCTTCTGACCTAACACTCTAACTGCAGACATAACCCCTTCCAGAGTAACTCGAACATCTGTCGCCATACTGCAATTCCAGTTGAGGCCTTAGTAGTAACGACGACTGGCCTCACTATCCCGGCTAGTCTCAGTGCTCTGCTGACTTCCCCCGCCGCTCACATTGACAACAACAAGCGGTTGCGACCTTTGCCGCTCCTGCTCGCGTTCTCTTTCACGCTCGGCTTCGCGGTCAGCTTCTCGCTGTTCATGGTAGGCATCTTGGCTGCATCCATAGACGCAGTAGGTCTGAGAGTCCTTGATCTCGCGGTTGCAACCGGGGCAGCCTTTCGTCATGGTTGCGGTTTGGTGTTGTAGGCAGGATTGAAAGGTTGAATTTTGGATTTCAGTAAGGGAGTAAGCAAGACTTTTAGCAAGTTCAAGTCGAGCTCGTTGATCTGGGCTTGAAGATGGGAATTTGACTTTTTGAGGAGAGGAGGCAAGTTTAGTTTGACGACTTGGACGGGACTTGTTGTGGATTATATACCCTCAACTTCAAGCTGGATACGATTAATTACATTTTCTTCATCCACATGATTCCTGGTATGTATGACAAAGGAGCACAGAGACAAATGTACCAACCACCACACAGGTCCAGGTACAACTTCAAGTGCACACGCGGCCTCCCAGCCTGATCTTTCAATCAGGCTATGCACTGTTCATTGATAGTCAGTCTGCTTCACCACTGATAAGATGGCGTGAGGCCAAGGAGGGATCGACGTTCATCTCTCGGGTATTAGGTGCACCCGAACCTCTAGACTCATTCATGTCGGGCGCTGTAAAAAAAAAAAAGAGGTTCGGGTATGAATGATATATCCGATGCCCGGGATTTTCATGTTCTGACGGCTCTGAGCTCACATGGCAAGACAAGGCTAGACGATAGGGTAGGTGGGTGGGTGTTGCTGCCTACGGTAGGCTCTGGCGGTGCGATTGCCACAAAGTCACTAGAGAGGGGTAGTTAAGGTGGTGGAGGATCCGCAGAGGACTGGATGCGGTGTCCTTTTGTAATCAGCCTATGAGGCGTGGCATCGAGAAGGAGGTGTCGGGACTACGTTATAGGGGCTGCTTACTCTCGACACGTCACAAAATACGACAGGATACCATTGAAGTAGAAAAATGACCACGTGTGATTGAAGACCTCGGCGAATTCTGACATTTTATATACGCTCTCTACATGTTAACACTTTGAGATTCAAATGATGCGAGTACGTATCTTAGACAGATAATGTTGCCGATTTGACACGAACATAAGGGCAAAGTTGGTTCAGCTTCCAAGACAATTAGATTACGGTTTTCTATCGATTTCCCTTTGAGCGAGCGCGAGGAAGATCAAATTGAGAATCTTTCAACGTCAACATGTCAAACGGCAGGTTCGTTTCGTTCTCGAACCAGGATCTCCACCATTTTGCGAAATTGACAATCAGGTCCTAATAATAATGACGAGATCCATGATGTCCATGATGCCCATAACCATACCCGTGTCCCCGATTATACCCTCCTCCTCCTCCTCCACCACCGCCGGAACCGAGGTAAACAAACACAGGCGGCACCCTGCTCCGTTCCCTCTCCCGCATCCTCTCCATCTGGCGCTGGCGTTCGCGCTCCCGCCGACGTTTGTTCTCATAGTAGGCGACCTGGCTGCATCCGTAGACGCAATAGGTCTGGTAGTCTTTGATCTGGCGGTTGCATCCCGGGCATCCTTTCGTCATGTTGGCGAAGCGAGGGTATGTTGGCGTTTGAGATTTTGGAGTTGGATGTGTGTTTGGTTTGAGGGATTCTGGTGGTATGATAGTTGGCTTGATAAATAAGCTTTCACTCTGAGCGATATTGTTTTGAGCGTAATTGACTGTTTGTGATTACTAGAAGAGTTTCGGGGGCATCGACCTTCGCATTTGGGCGGAAGTCTCCCGGTCTTTATGCCCCCAAGACCCGACCCTTCGACGCAAACGCCAACAGCATATCCCTCACGCAGGATCTTTAGACCCGACCATGTGCCATCGATCCGCATGCCAAGCCTGAAACGAAATTCGAAGCGTCCTGCCGTGAATACTTCCCTTCTTGTTCTGGCCAGGATGCGTACGTCACAAGCTAATACAGCAAGGACACATGCTGGGTACACTGCGGCTGATAGGAGCCGAACGTACGAGGAATCTATGCAAGCTGACCGTCTCAGACGACCGCTCGTGTAACACCGCATGCAAAGACTCAAGATATTAGTAGGCATTTTGAGGTCGTAGTGGTGTCTCGGACGAGGCTGTAGGATTCACGGAGTGTTGAATAACCGCGCGGGCTCTTATGTGATTCTGACCAATGTGACACGGTACAGCTAACTGCCAACGTGCGACGTTCTGTCAAGAAAAAGGTGAACAGCAGCTGAATGATCACCCAAAGATGACGGATGTATGAACCTTACTAAATGGTAACGTTACCGTGAAGCAAGTGGCTTGACCCGATGGGTGAAGACTTGTCCAAGTACATCCACAGACGGATGTGATCACAGGAGAATATTGTTCGCAAGAGATTTATTCTCTTGACAACATAAGGTCACCAAGTACTATTGTTACACCAACTTAAAACGAATGTAGATCAAGTATTAAAACTTCCATTAGGTGTAAACACCGGATAAAGACTAATGTACAAGCTTGTGCTGTAGGGTATTGTAGTTTCTTCAGCGAGGCCGTTAATCATAACTCTCAGACTCCAAGACTCCAGCTGAGCTTCTGCGGAGATGATAGTCTCCATTCCTGTATTTCATGGTGTCAAAACCATTTGCCATCTAGGCATGCATTTCTCAAGATGGGATTAAACCATCGCATCGGGGTGGCGAGATCCAGAGCCGACGGGCTTGCGGGATCCAACGGGCTCGCCATAGTCGTTCACACCGGCGCCAGTGGAAGCACTGTGGCCGTGGCCGTGGTGCTTCTCGCGGTGCAGGATACCACCGCCGCCACGCTTGCCCCAGCCGGCCTTACGAGTGAAGACAGCATCGTACAACTCAGCCTCGGCACCATAGTTGAGGGCCTGGCCGCGGTTCAGGGGGATGTGGTTGAATCGGAAGTCCCAAATGGCAGCGTAGGTCATGCGGTAAGAGGAGAAGGCGAAAGTGATACCGATGGCGGCACCAGCGAAGATGTCGTACCAGTTGTGGAACTCGTCAATTGTGAGGGCGCCACCGATGAGGACGGCACCGAGGATGGGGATGTAGGTGATGATCAGCTTCCACATGGCAGGGTGGTAGTCGGAGAAGACCTTGAACTTGGCGTTAAGGTACAAGTAGAGGTATCCGAAGCCGGCGAAGGCAGCAGTGGTGTGTCCACTGGGGAAACTCTCAAGAGAATCGTTGATCTCCTTCATGTCGCCGGTGCAAACCTCCTTGGTGACGTACAAGCTCTGGAACCCAGCGGCGCTGTAGCCAGTACGGGCGATGCCACCCTGGCTGCTAGTGACACGGGACAGGTCGGGCTGGCAAGCCTCCAGGAAGTGAGGGCGCAGACCGCCGATCAGGAACTTGATGAAGACCTGGAAGACGGCGGCGCAGATGAGGGAGTAGAGGAGGCCGATGACGGCGTTGTTGACATCCCAGAAGGAGCGGATGCGGATTTGCATGAGAAGGATGATGCAGATAGGGATGACGGAGGCCAGGAAGGCAGCAAGCCAAATGGGGACGACTTCGTTGCGCATGGGGTAAGCGAACTGGGGGTAGACGACTTCACCATCGGCGAAGGTGACGGCGAAGGAACGGTTCGGGGCGGGAGGTGCCATGTAGATCTAAACATTGTTAGCGATGCTTGGAAATGCGATGTTGAGACGTAATGTAACTTACTCCGAGACCGATGGCGCCCATGCAGATCATGGTGATAATGTCGATGAGGGTGCCCTTGAGCCATTGCCCGAAGCTGGGACGGGTAGACATGGAGTAAGGCTCAGCGCCACGACGCTTGCTAGAGACGCCGTTATGGTGACCGTTGGCATGGCCGGTAGCAGCAGCGCCTGCGGGTGCCGCCTCGCGACGTTTTCCAAAGATGCCCATGGTGATGTTTTTTTTGATGATGTTGGTGTTGTTATTTTTGGGTGTTGTGCAGTGTCGTATTAGAGGTCTTGCCAAGCTTTGGTGAAGAAGATGCCAAGACGGGATGGCTGTGCTTGACTGCTTGTGCCTCGCCGGGAGCTGCAAGAAGTGTCTTGGCGAGCTGTGATGGATGGGAGAGGGTGGCTTGACTGTGAGGGATGAAGGGAGAAGAGAGGGCAGAGGAAGGGGAGGGAGGTCGACTTTAAGCTTAAGGAATAAGGTCCGGGGTCTACAGTCTGTGGCAGGCAAGAACGATGTTGAAGTGACTACCGCTGGTGTCTTCCTTCCTCTGAGTGTTCATGGTTAGGTACCTTGGTACCTCGCGAGTTTGGCTTGACGTCATGTTTGTTTAATCCCAAAATGGGACGAAAAACTTGGGAAGGCGCACACTGTTGGAGGAGATGTGGGATGTGGGATCGAGGGCAGGCGCGACGCACGGCGCACGACGCACGACGGAGCCATACGCAGCCATACGCAGCCATATGTCATTCCAGCCGCGGCTTCATTTCAGGCTTTTGCTAGGGGCGGTAGGTAGGGCGCTGGGCCGTTTGTTACGGTACCTCACTTCTTGAACCACGGAACCAGTCGAGACCCCAAGACATGGGGTGTTCTCTGTGTGTACCTTTGGACTGTAGCACGACGGACATTGGTTCACTTTCAGCTTCGGGACCTTTTGGGAGGGGGGACATTTCAAGCCAGGGCCGTTCCTGTTACGCACTAAAACCCCGGATTGTGGCTAGTGACTAAACTGGCCCAAAAAGTGACTTGATTGTCTTAGACATTTTGGTCGCTGAATGTATGTATCCGTACCGTATCCATACGAAATGCCAGCAGAAATGATACGAAAAGAGAGAGCAAAAAAAAAGTCAAGCCACGCGCCAGGTACTTAGCGAAAGTAACGTACTGCATCACAAAAAAAAAATAAAAAACACCAACGACGTCATGCCGCCTCGGACGCGTGGGCGGTGGGCACATCTACACATCCTTGGCAACGACCGGGTCTGTTCCCGCACTCCACAGAGTGAGCGAGCTTCTCAATCCCTGTCAACCGGCACCTCAGATCCGACGTCTCCAATCAGAATCCCGGACGACATAAGATTGGAAAAGGTCTGGACTTCCATAGGATGGTGATGATGCGCTACTCTCTGCCAAAGGGCAAAGGCGTCAAGCCACGCCATACGAGATGAGGCGTAATAGTAGGTACTCCGTATCTGTTTTTCTTCCTCTCTTGCGTCTGATTCACAGTGGAGAGCATAGCATAGCATAGCCATCAAGATGTACATGTACTCAGACAAAAGTCTACGAGTGGCATAGGGCAACCTATTTCCAAGGACGTCTGTCTGCACCTGAACTACGGCTGACTGCATTGGGCTTGACAGGGTAACGGGGCGCCAAACGTCCAGAGACATCTCCCGCAAAAGCGTCGCCGATCCCTTCAGCATGTCCTGCAACCTCCGTATCAGGCTTTACAGGCATCCTTTTGGTCTGTTGGCTCGGCGGGCCTATCAAGACATACATGTATCCACTGTCCAAAGCAGACATGTCATCCTCGGCTCCGCTGTGACGATTCTCGTAGAGGCTCAATCGTTTGTCAGATGAAAACCTCAGAGCCAGGACCTCACGTACTCACGTAGCTACTCAAAATTTGGTTCTAATCCCTGGTGACCGGACTGGGGGAGGGTCGTCCGTAAGGCATCGTGGTACACGGGCATTCCAGGGGTCGCTCTCGAGGGGGACCAAAAGGTCCGGGACGTTTGTATCGACGATGGCCTGTGTTGTTAGCGCCCTCGTGCCACCTAACTACCACTTTGATGTTGCACCACCGACAGGGGAACTTTGATGACCTGAACACATTCTTCTCCGAATGGACACGGCAAAGATTCTTCTTGCTGGTTTCGCTTTTTTCCGCACTTTGCATTGGCAAATGTGAACCTTGAGGCTCACACTATTGGTTGCTGTTTCATCAATCTCGAAAGGGGTGAGCCGGTCACAGTTTAGCTCCAGCTCTGGTAGCTTAAACCAGCTTCATGCATTCATGATTTTAGACATTTTCAGCATTGAGACCTGGGCAACTACACAAAAAAGCAATTCTCGATAGCACGTAACAAGTTACCTAAGCCATTGATTGTCCTTGCTTTCACTGAGATTGATCAATTTGGTCAATATCTAGAGAGATACAATCGGACAGCGTTCTAGACAACTATAGCGCTTTCGTTTAGACTTCGTTGCATTCTAATTTCCGAAAGATAATCATGGCTTGTTTCAGTTCGGCTGGGACTGAGATTCGCTGTAGGAGTAAATTTCCCTACCCATGGTTGATGGGCTCTACATTGTACATTGTACGATATTGAACTCGGAAAGTCAAGTTCGCCAAATAGCAAAGAAGGTAATGAGCAAGCTCGGAAACGCACAACTGATACATGGACAGGAATTCCTCACGTCAAAAATCGCGACAGCGGAGCAAATCGACGTCATCCCGCCCCCAAATAAGGCACCCTCCTCCATGTCACGGCACACGAGATCCGACTTTACCAATCACATCCTCCCTCACCATACCTTAAGGGGGAGGATATTCTGCCAGCAGCTCCCGCTATTCTGCCACTAAGTGTGGCTACGGCTACTACACAACCGCCGGTCTCG